GCGAGTTTTTTCCTGTGGGCCCACACCGGCAGAGGGATCTCCTGCACACCGGGGGCAGCCCTTGGGAAATGGGGCCGGCCGGGGCAGCGTGGGGGTTTGGGTCCCACAGATCCCTGCCCCAGGGTGGGCGCATCCCCTGCTCTCCAGGAAGGCAGCGCCGGAGGAAAAGGAATCCTTACATTGGTGATGTCAACTTCGGCGTTCCTGAGGCTGCTGTTGAGAACGTTGGGCAGAGGGACTGACACACTCAAGACGTCTGCAAAAGCAAGTGAAAACGTCTCATCACGGGGCGGGAAACCTGGGCACGGGCAGCGAGGGAAGGGGCAGAGCCCCAAATACAGACTAGTTTGAGAGAAGAGGGGACCCAGACCCCGGCCATACCGTTAATGGCAGGTACGTATGCAGTCGCAAGGACTTGCTTGAGCCACCCTGTAAGCGTGGAGGCCTGCAGGGGAAGAAGATGCATGTCAGTGCTTGATGAAGAGAGCAACAGTTATTGGGATGAAGACAGCGATGTCAGGCTTAGCAATTCAGTTCTGTCATTGCAGGATGCTCGGAGCTATGAAACGCAAAGGCGGGGGAGCTTCCTTCAGTGAAATTCTTCCAGGACTGAGGGTGAGGAGACACACAGGGACATGCTCTTTGGGTAATTTCTTCTTGATTATTCCTCCCCCCTTCCCAGCACCCCCACTGTGCTGACAAGTGAACATATACATTCAAGTGTCATTGCTATAGGGCATAGGAGATCGACAGGGCAGACAGCAATTGGCATCTGCCAAGAGAAGAAGAAATGTGGAGGCTGAAGAATTGGCATTTTGCTTCTCCATCCCTAGCCACCACATCGCTCCCTGCAGCACCTCGATCCAAAGCAGCATGCACTTACACTGCGGGGGCTGAGTCTCAGGGGTGCCCGTGTCAGGTTGATGCTACAAAAGATAAAAACAAGGCAGAGTCAGGGTGCATCGCGTACAGCCCTCCTCCAGCTTTCCAAACGCTGCTCAGACCCTTCCCTCATCCAGAACTTGTCTCACCCACATAAAGATACAAGGATTTTGAAAACAGGGTGACTGTTTTACAACTCTCTCATCACTTCAGTTGTGTACTTGGTCTGAGTGAGGTTGGGGCTGGGAGGAGGCAGGAAAGCTCTGGCAGCCCTTTACATCTCTACCATGTCTATGTCACACTCCCCAGTTGCTGCCACCAGCCCCATATCATCAGGCTCCCGGGACCATCCCCAGGCAGAGCCCCTTCCCTGCCCACAGCGACCGCAAAGCTCAGCTCTACCTGTCGAGAGCCAGGGAGGTTTGCAGCTTGCCGTCAGAGACCGATGGGATGATGTTCAGAACAATGTCCTGAAATTGCAACAATGGAAAAAATGAGGTTATTTCCCTGTGTAGCTCCCAAGACTGAAAAGAAAACACAGAGTATTTGTGACCAACCCATTCTGAGAAAAAACACCTGTCTGTGCCTAGAAATTGCGTTTTTTTTGACGGATGGCATCATGTATCTCTCTCCCTAGGGTTCACCCTTCCTGCCTTTGTTTTCTATTATTCCTTAAACAATTCACTTGCACTTCGTTCTGAGCATTTTTAAAGGACTGGGCACCACTGTGCTGAAGATGTAGTAAATTCAAACGTACAAGTACTACATGGCTAAGGGCAGAAGAAGCTGAGGGGATGCTGGCGAACAGCCAGACTCACCCTTGCTTTGTTTTGGAGGTCTTGTCCCCCGGGAACACACTCACCGTGTCGAGGGAGAAGAGGGGCCTCTGGGAGGACTGCAGGAGGGGGCTGACGATATCAATGGAGGCTTTGAGGGTGGCGGTGGCTCTTCTGCCCCTCACGGCCACCACCGGCTCGTTGGCCACCTGCACGCGCAGCTCCAGCGGCAGAGAGCCGGGGAGGATCCTGGCGAGCTGCACGGGGCAGGGACAGGTCAGGGCAAGGGAGTCTTTGCGTGGTTGGGGTGGGTGGGGAGGTTGGAGATCAATGCATACAAAGGAGGTGGCTGACCTGAGGGATGAATGGGAGAAGGGCAGACGTGGACAGCGAGATGCTATTGGGCACCTGTGGGAACAGCACAAGCAGCGTCAGTGGCCAGGAGGGTTTGTGCAAAGCCCACTCTGGGCTCAGCTGAACCCCACAAACAAATGCAAGCACGGGGTGGCGAGCACCCAGGGGTCACCCAAGAGCGATCAGGACCCCAACTCGGCCCCGGAGACGGGCGTCGCGACTCACCATTGAGTTGGTGATGTTGAGGTTGAAGGCTCCCTGCCCCTGGGCCAGCTCCAGGAGGTTACTGAGGGCACGCTGGGAGAGACTGAGCCGTGGCAGGCGGCCGGTGGCCAGCATCAGGCTGGCGTCAAGCGGCAGTCCCTGCGTTGAGGCCACTGCACTGCCCTCCATGTTCCCACCGAGGAGCTGCAGGGGACAGAGCAAGG